GTTTGGTTTGCAAAGTAAAAAATATTACGATAATCTTTTATTGCAAATGGTGTTTAGTTGGTAAAGTGGAGGGTAATCTTATTACCTTGTTAGGGGGTGTTATTAAAACATTACCGGGATAATCTGATTTTTCTGCACATTTTGCCCTTAATTAAAAACCATTTCGGACACAATTGCCCTCAAATGTCTACCAAATAATAATTACCCAGCCCCTCTAAATTTGAGAAATTACTAAAACACCCCAGCCACAAAAAAGGTTAAAAGTTAACAAAATACCCCCAGCCACCCAAGACCATCGTCGATCGTGACTCACCACCGTCAGTTGTTGGCATCAGTTGCTGTAATGGTGCACGATCGGCGAGATCTGACCGATCGTGCACCAGTAAGGCCTTTTCCTGCTATGGATCACAGATCCATGGTCAGAAACGACCAAATCTTGTGTTTCTATGGTCGTTTCACGGACAAAGATGTGGTCATGAAACAACCACAAATCTAGTCATGAACATGCCAGATCTTTGGCGGTGAAATGGTTGTAGATTTGGCCATTTTTCGGCCATGGGTTTGTGATCCATGGCCATTTCTGGCTTTTCCGGCACACGACTGGCCATGTACGACCAATCGTGTACCATTTTGTTGATTGTCGACGGTGACCGACAGTGGTGGTTGGCTGCTAGCAGTGGCTTGGGTTGGGTGGGGGTGATTTTGCTACAAATTAAAGTTTTATATGGCTGGGGTGTTTTAGCAAAATTTCAAATGTAGGGGGTTAAAAGAAATATTCAAAAAATAATAATAAAAAATATGAGGGCAATTTAGTAATCTATATAATATACCCTCCCATTTATCTTCCCAACCAAACATATTATTTACCAATTTATTCGAATCAACCAAACACATTTTCTAAACATTCTCAGTAATCTTCAAAGTGATCTTTCTTTCCGTTAATATAATATACCCCTATAATAAAACATTATATGATCCAAACGCCCCGTAAAGGATATATTTCTTTAACGACTCATTACGTAGATGATAATTGGGTGTTACAAAGTAAAATACTCAACTTTTGCCATATTCCTCCTCCACACTCAGGGATTGTTTTGGCAGATAAAGTTTTGACTTTCTTACAAGAATGGGGAATTGAAAAGAAAGTTTTCTTAATTACTTTGGATAAGGTAAGTAGTAATAATAGGATGGATGATATCTTATGGAACCAACTTTGTGTGTAGAATGTTTTGTTATGTAGGGGTGATTTTTTCCACATGCAATGTTCTGCACATATCTTGAATCTTATTGTTAAAGAAGGGTTAAAAGCTACTAGTGTGGCTTTAAATAAGATTCGAGATAGTGTGAAATATATTAAAGGAATTGAGGCTAAAAGAATCAAGTTTGGAGAACTTGTTGTACAAATGGGTGTGAAAAGCTCAATGGGGTTGAGATTGGACGTTCCTACTAGATGGAATTAGACTTTTTTAATGCAACATCTAATTTTACCTCACTAAATTCTAATGCAAAGTCGTGTAGTAGCAAAGAACAAGTAATGATCTTTCTTCTAGAGGATTTGTGAACTTAATTAATTATCTACTTTTAACGGGGTTTGTCACAAATTATAAAAAAAACTCAACAAAAACTAAAAAAAAAAACTCAAAGCAAACAATGTAAATCAAGCAACTAATAATGAAAGAGAAATCAATGAGAGAAACAAGATTGAAGGTTTATTTGCCACCACTAGACATGGATTACATATAACAAAAACACTCTTTAACTTTTTACCCTCTTGATCACATCAGCTCAGAAAATATCAAACGTTGATAAGTCCAATCTCTCCTTACTGAGTCGTTGAACTAGACACGGTCATAACCCAATTCCCTATTTATTAAAAAACCTAGGATAGGATCTCTAGATTCAAAGTAATAAAAGCATTAAGTTGCAAGAGACCTACTGAATCAAGGCTAAACTTATATGGTCGGTTTAGTTATCTTGAGTGATTACCCCCCATGTATGCAAGCATACACTTTACCACTAGTTATTTAGGTTAATTAAGTGATTCCGTACTAAACAACCTCAATTGGCATTAATAAATTAACTCTAACGATTTAATTGGCCACTTAAACAATTATAACAATCTAGTTAAACCCTATTTTTAGAGAAATAATCACATAACCAAAAGGATAGAAAGATAAAAAGATGCAGATTTTATTAATCACAAGACATGTCTAGGGTTTTGAAATCACCCTCAATCACAAAAGAATTAGTTCTTCATAAATAAATATGAGAACGTCATTGTATTATTCATAACAAATAATAATAACAAAGAAGAAGAAAAACTTCGTGAACTGGTTGGATATGGAGTTGAGATGTCTCATCCAATCTTTCCTCCCCAAGCCTTATTTAATCTCCATTTTTCTTCAGTTCTTGAAATCTTTGTTCTCTCTTTTATTATCTCTAAAGAATCTGTCCTCCCTCCCCCCCCCCCCCCCCCCCCCCCCAAAAAAAAAAAAAGCTAGCAGACTTTCTATTTATATCCCACAAGGGTTAGGGTTTTGTTTTCCTTAATTCTATTTAGTTTAGGACTCCTAAATCCCCAATTTCCTAGTCAAACACGAAATTTAAAAACCCAACTGCCGTGACTGTGCCTCGGCATTGTGTTGTAGCATGGTTGATTCTAGACTAAGTGTGTTATAGCACAGTGCTACGGCATGGTTGGTTCTAGTCTTGTTGTGCTACTGCACAGTGCTGCAACATAGTGTCCAATTCCTCTCCTGACCTTGCATCATTCTTCATCACTCTAGAGATAGTGATTTTTGAGTATGATAACGATGAAATCTGGAAAAGTGTTAAACACACAAACTTTAGACCTTTAAATCAGCTTTCTAACTGTTCAAGAATCATCTCAATAAAATATCTATAGATCAAGTTATATTTGAAACACCAAGGCATACTCAAACTGGAGCGTAATCTAGAATCTCCTCTTTATTTCAAAGCTCCATAAGTTCTTCAATTCAACTCTGATTCTCGATCCGTTTGTTTTTAGTCATCTTAAATTCTCTCGCCAACATCATCTCTCATCTGAATATTATTTTTAAGCTTTATTCCCTGAAAACACAACAAAAATACTCATGATCCCGAAAGTGCCTTTATGAAACAATTATGTTAATTCATGCAAATTAATCCTAATTTCCCACAAACGATTCCTATAAACCAGTCAGTATAAGTGTATTTTCAAGCACTTATTACCATTGCACATGATTTACTAATGCCTCTAGTTTCTACTGTAGCATCAAAATCAGTTTTTAGTGCAGGTGGGCATGTATTGGACGAGAAAAGATCGAGTTTACATCCAAGTGTTGTTGAAGCACTTATGTGTACAAAAGATTAGGTGGCGGCTGTAACGCCTAACATGGCGGTACATGATTTAAATGATGTTTTATAGCCCTTAGTTAATTTTTGTTAGAATTATTTTAAGAGAATATGAAGAAAATGCCTTAAACTTGTATTACGGGTAAAATAGTCTTTTCACTCAAAATTAGTTAAAATTGTGGGCAGTGAAAAGAGATAGAATTTCATAAAGAATACAATAAAAATGAGGACATTATGGTAATTTACTAAGGGACAAGGATGGAATTTCCAAAGAATAAGAAAAGAAAGAATGAGAAAGAATAAGAATAAGAAAGGATGAGAAGGCTTGAACAAGCCAAGAAAAGAAGAGAAAAGAAAAACAAGAAAGAAAAGAAAAGAATAGAAAGAAAAAGAAAAGAAAAGAAATAGAACAAGAAAATAGAAATAAGAAAGAAAAAACATTTTATGCATTATTGCATATGCATTTTATTCATGCATATTGCCATGAATTTCATTATGGTTAGGAAGAATAGAAAGAATAAGAAAGAAAGAACAGAGAGAAGTAGAAAGAAAGAAAAGAACAGTGAGAGTAAGAAACAGAGGAAGAAATAGAGAAAGGAAAGAGAAGGAATTAAGTAAGGAAAGAACCTAAGAAGGAGAAGAGTTAAGGGATTTACTTACAGAGCATTTTTATGCTCACCCGGTTGTTTTTTCATATTTTTGCAAGAAATAGGTGAGCAGCGGTCGGAAGGACGTCAACAAGCGGGGAGGATTGGTATTACTGTCCACTGTTGCTAAGTTTTTGTATTCATTATTTTGATATATGTAAAGAATTATGTTTTGTAAGTAAAGAAAAATTTGGGCCCAACTATTTTCATATACTAATTATGTATGTTTTTATTGTATATGTTCTAAAGTATACTAATAGAAAGCAGTTATTACAGAGGCAAATTTTAAGCTTCAAAATCATATTGTTAAAGATATATTTGAAGATTTTAAGAATTTAGAAATTAATGAAAATGAAGATGTATAATAATTCTTAATCCTAATTTCTAAGTTTGTATTTGTAATTTATAATTATAACTTATAAGTAATAAAAAAATATTGAAATTCAATTAATATTTCAATGTCTCAACATTTTGTTATATTTCATAGTGATTATATTTTTTTTAATTAACATAAATACAAAATGTTACTAAATATAAAATATACAATATTTTTATAATAATCATCAATAATAAATCAAAATTTCCATAATCTATAAATATTAAAATTAAATATTTTTACAAAGCACGTGGGCCAGCCCACAGCACGGCCCAAGGCACAACATGATATATATCGGGTCGTGCCGTGGGCCTTCAAATTTGGTGGGTCAGCATGGCACGGCACGACAGAGCACAAATTTTTGCGAGCTTTGACATGGCATGACCCATGACACAACAAACCTTGAATTTGTAGGCAAAGCACAGCACAACACGACCCACCGTCGGCTCTACCCGTACCCAACCCACCTGCCTGTTTTGCCAGGACTATATTTAAAGGATGAAAATGTTACTTTCCCAGGATATAATGGTGAGATTTAAATTTCAATATTTTCGCGGCTATATTTTTAAGTTGTTTTATTAATTAATTATTATTATTACTATTATTTTTGTTTTGGAAATCCCTCTCCTTAAGAAGAAACAGTAACAGAAGCGCGGAGCAGAGAGATGACAGTGCGGTGGCCGAAACGAAAATGGAGAAGAATGTGTTCATTAGGTCTAATCCTTAGAGGAGGTCGTGGGTTTCGATCAGATGCAGCTCTAGAAGCAATAGCCAAAGCTGGTGAAGACAGAGTACAAAACTTGGTGCTATACAATTACCCATCTTTTTCAGGGGCATTCTCAGCTCTCTTTGCTCATCTCTTCCACTCTCGGCTCAATCTCCCTTGCCTTCTCCTGCCTTTCTCTTCAGTTGAACCCTTCAGGTTACCACTTTTTACTCTTCACCGTCTTTTCTTTTTCTCTTTTCAAGTTAATCTTGTTTCTGCATCAATATTTATAAATTTGCTTACTTTAGTTGCTGCAATTGTTAAAATGTGGATAAATATTGAAAGTTTAAAATTTGTTGATTGGGTCTTAAGAAATTGGTCAAATTTTTCTTTATGAAATTGACAAGAGTGTAAATGTAAGCCTTGTTGTTTGTGTAAGTGAGAACTTCCATATTCTGTGACTGTAAAAGTTAACACTCTTTTATTTATTTATTTATTTTTAACCTTTGTTTCTGAGCAATGGATTAATTCTTAGACTGCTTACTTTTTTACTATAGGGTTGAAGATTTGTGCATTGATGGGCTTGAGAGAGTTTATCTCCTTGATTTTCTTGGTCCAAAAGGATATGCTGCACAACTTGCACAACGAAATATATGCGAGTAAGCTAAATTTTATGAATTATGATACCACGATGATAATTTTTTCTTCCTAAAGTGTTTTGAAGATGCGGATTTGATCATATTTTGATTTGATTAACTTAGGGTGATTGGCTTCGATCATCGAAAATCTGTACTTCCACATATTAAAGAGGATCATCCCAAGAAAGTCACATTTTATGCTGACCTTGATAAGAGTAGCTCCACTGCTGTATATGAATATTTCTCTTCCAAGCTTGTAGAGATGAAACCTGTTGAGGTAGGTTGATAAATTTCCTTTCACTTTGAAAGAGTTGATTGAGATGTTATATATGAAATAATCTCTCTTAATCAAAATTAGGGGGAAGTTGCCAGTTTACTGAATTCAGAAGAGCAGGATCGTCTGAAAATTGTTCTCAAGTACATTGAAGATATGGATCTTCGTCAATGGAGCTTGCCAGACATAACTGCTTTCAGGATTGGGCTAAATGAATGGCACTCAAAGTTGAATTGCATTACTAATCCATATATTTATGAACAGGTTCAGTGGTTGGAAATTGAAGTTTTTCTTTTTTTTTCTTTTTGATGGTTATTTTTGAGACTGGTTAATGTTATAAGTTTTATATTATGTTCAAGATGATGGTTAATTGGCTGTTGATTGGGACAGTTATAATAGTTATTGTTTGAGGATGGTGATGGTGATGGTGATGAATGCATTATATGTATGTGGCAGGCATAGATAGTTTGTGCTAATTTAAAATAATGAAGGTGATGAAAACAATAGGTGGCTATACTATGATGATGAGTGAGAAGTCATACAAATAAATTTAACCTATGAGCATGTTTCATATTGTTGAGCATAATCCTACATACCTTAAGATGATTGCTAGGTGATTATGCAATTATTTATAAATAGGCCCAAAGGATAGCTAGGCTCTCAAAACATGCATTCCTTTGTCGCTTAAGTTGTTGAATCTAAATGTGGGGATCTTGGGATGAGTGCCACTGATATTCTCTGCACCATAGATCTCTATATATCATTTTAATAGAATGAACTATGTCACAATGTAATTGTGAAATGGACCCGAGGATGAGTTATTTTATTTTGAATTATTTCTCTTCCTTCATCTACATTTGGTATGATCTCAATTTATTGCTCATTGCTTAAGTCCTTTTAATTTCTTGTATTTAGCAGTTATTGGAGATAAGTGCCACCGGTCTGATTTCAAAGGGAAATTCCTATATTTCTGCTCGCCAAAGTGCTGCAAATAAGTTATTGGATAAGGTTTTTGAAGTTTGGCTGGGCAGAGGTTTTTATGGAGAATGCCTGGTAATTAAAAGTTGCAATATTTTGACTAGCAGTCCCTTTAATACATTTTTTACCAAAACACATCTGGTTTAGTTTTGTGATTTGGGTTTGCATTGACCATTTTCTTACTCAAAACATGAGATATTATATGCTTCATGCTCTTTGCACTTGGTACACTTAATACTTGACAAACACCTTGCTTTCTTTTTCTTTTCTCATTCTCTTTCTTCTCGTGTAATACTCCTTTTTAAAGTTATTTTTCCCTCATTATTCTGGTTGTAAGGCAGTTAGAGCAGATGGGAGTTCTAACTTGAGCGATGAAATTGGCAAGCAACTTAGTGTTAAGAGTGCTGCAGCTGGACTGAGGTAATTTTCCTTGCATCCATTCTCTCCTAGACCTCATTAGTTCATCATAAAAGGGTATTTGGAGCATCCATACAATAGGAAACTCAAGTTCGAAATTGGGGTCTGACCCGACAAGCTTTGTGAAGCATAAAACCTGTAGCTTTTTGTCAAGTATGTGATCTAAAGGAACTGAACCACAGATTTTGTGGGGTAAACACATGCCTGGCCACTCAATCAACCCTTATTAAGGGTTTCCTCTGAACTGTTAGGTTAGCTTTTAGATTCATCAATGACCCTTAGTTTATTGTAAGATACTCTGGCCTTGCTGTATTCAGAGCTGTGGTTGCAAAAGCCAGTTAACCTGAAAGGCATCAATCACATAAATATCATGTTGACACCTGTGCAACTGAAATATTATTGGGTGCAAAAATAAGTGTCCCCTATGTCTATCCAATGCCATGAATGAATTGTTCCTTCTCTTAGAGTTAGTTTCCTTCCCAACATCATAAAGGTTTTGATCCATATTTGAATTTTTAATTTTGATTCATAGGGTTAACTTCAATTTAAATCAGTTAAATTCATGAAGTGGATTCATTCTTAAAAAGGAAAATCATGGCTTTTGGGATGGAAACCAGTCTGGTCCTTATCGTTGTTCAAACTGAATACACCAGAGTTAGATTAATTGGCAGGGTTGTCAAAGTTTCACCTGTGGGTCATTTTTAAACCCCTAAACTCTGTATTTGGCCTATTTTATTGGAGGTTTCTATATTTGTTAGTGAATTGTGACATTAGTGTAATTTTTGGCTTTCAGTTTCAAAAGATTTCCAAGAGAATTCATTCATCTTTATTCATTTCAATTGAAGTGGGTCTTGGGCTGATTTTGTCTTGTCTTTTATGTAGTTTTTGGGGCTGTTTTCTTTGTCACCTGTGCTTAGGCCAGCTTTCTTTTAACACAGCCTACACATTGAGTGGGCTAGGTCCCCATGGCAATCTTGATCATTTCCTTGCTCGTCCCATTGATTCATTTATAGTTATTGGTTGTTTCTTTATATCTTCTATGAAACTCTTTCTTGCTCGCCAATTAACAATGCATTGATGATTTCAGGCCCGTAGGAGCTGTTGTATACATGCAACGTAATAATCTTAAGATGTGCTTGAGGAGTACTGATAGCACTACTGATACTTCTGAAATTGCAAAGGTGTGGAAATTTGAGTTAATAGTACTACTTATTTTACATTAAATTTGTATTTTTTTGGGATAAACTTGTAACCCAAGCAATCCTTGTGTCTTCAAATTTTCAGGCTTATGGAGGAGGTGGCTCTGCTAGTTCTAGCTCCTTTATCATAAGAATGGATGAGTATAATAAGTGGCTTTCGTTAAATAAACCATAATGGCCTCAAGGTGCAACGTGTCTTTTTGGTAGATTACCATGCTACCTCCTTTCTCAACCATTTCGTTTGTAGTATCATATGATGATTTTCATCAATGAATACATATTAATGGTAGTTGAAGCCTAAAACTTATATGTGATATTAGGTTCATTTTGTTGTATTATTAGGATTAGAAAATAAAGAAGAAAATAAAATGAAAGAAGGGTTTCTAGAATAGGTTTACGTTGAGTTAACCTACTCATATGTACTATGTGAGAGACTAACAAGAGATTTTACAAATGATTAACTAAGAAAACTTGTTATTTCGAGCATTAGTACCAATGTTTTAATAACCAACCCAAGGTAAAACCTAATAAAGTTGTCGGGTCCTAGGTTGAGTGATTTAATCGGTTTGATCGGTCGGTCAAACTGGGTTGCCAAAAGTTTAAAATTAAGCAAATACGCGCTTGACATTACAGTCTAGTTTTTGCTATTTTAAAACTTGGACCGGACTGATCGGTCCAATTGGTTCGATTGGGACCCAGTTGTGTGTCTGGTCCGAGTTAATATAAAGGCTTTTTATACTTAAAAAACCGTTCCTTTTTATACTTAAAAAATCGTTTTAACCTGCCATTAGACCGGGTGAACAGTTTAAACCGCCTAGTCTAATCGAACTGCTTGATAAATCGGTTCACTATTTCACAAGTAAAAAAGCCCTAAATCTATTCATTTTTCAGTTTCTCTACGTAGCCACTCTCTGAAATTTGCAACCACTCTTTAAAATCACCCCTCAATCTCAATCAACTCCACTCTTTGAAGTCTGAAATCGTAACCGTTGTTTCATTCGCAACTCCACTTTCTAAAATCAACTACACCTCCCTCCCTCGCTGGAAATTGATGACGAAGCCTCCTTTCTTGCTCAACGACGACGACGACGCCTCCTTGCTCTGCAACGATGACGATGACGATGACGATGCCTCCCTCCTTGCTCGACAATGATGACGACGCCTCCCTCCTTGCTCGACAATGATGACGACGCCTCCCTCCCTCCCTCGTTGGAAATCGAAGACGACGACAATTGAAGGTACTTCTTGTTTATTTGATTATCTTTTTCTAGATTAGGAAGTATTGTTTTGATTATTTGATTGGAAATTTTGTTTTGATTATAATGCTTGGTTTATTTGATTGGAAGTTACATAATTATTTTACTCAAATCTGGAAGATAATTTGAAGGTACTCAGATTATTTGTGTTTTCTTCCTCTGGTTGAATAACCCAGATTTGCCCAAACCTGAGAATAAAGAGATATAATGTTTAAATGAAAAGTTAAGGTGCCTTTTGGAATAGTATTTTGTTTCCGCATTTCAAGCATGCTATAATCTACAAAAGTTTTTGTCAATTATAAATTTTTGGTGGAGCTATAACATATTATATTGTATGTTGGGATTATTGTTAAATCATGTTTGGATTGTTATTGAATTTGAATTATGTTGGTGTTGTAATTAAGCTGTTATTGAAAATTTAAAAATTGTTCAAAAATGAAAAATCTGGATTTTTTTTGGAAATGTTGATGTCATCATACTGATGTCAGCATGGTGACGTTATCGGTCCAACCAACCGGTCCAACCAGTTTGACTGGTCGACCTGTGACCCGAGCAGGAGAACGAGTTGTCCTCCGGTCTGGGTTTTAAAACAATGTTAGTTTCTATAGGTTTGAAATTTATCTAACACATCTTTTATACAAATCAGCGGTCAACTGGTTGGCGGCAGTGACACATTAAATGCAATCTCAATCATCTCCTATGCCATTCCCCAGAAAACCTATCCAAGATCTGGTCGAAATCGGTTCAATTTCGGTCAGATCTCATCACTATCGACGTCGATGACCCATGACAGATCTCACCACCGTCGACGTCAACAACCTTTCCCATCTCCATGAAAATACTCACCTCGACCTCTTGACTAAAACCCATCTCACCCAACCTTCGTTCGCCTCGCTAATCGCTAACAAAAGCAGACTATTGCCGCCGTGAGTTTTTCTCGATTTCCGGTCGATTCACTCACCAGAAATCATCTCCGTCGCCACCATTGCACTCATTGACCCTTCCTCTTCAAAAGCTTCAACATCTTGGCCTTAAATTATTCTTCGATCATCATCCCAATTTCTAGGATCTTCGGTGAATACGAAAATTGCTTACCTGGCTCGGTAAAGGCCTCGTTTCTCGGTTGAACCAATTGAACCGATTGGATTGGGTCGAGTTTTAAAACATTGATTAGTACTACTTCAAATTGACGAGAGATTTTGTCAAGCTTACCGTTTGGTAAAAATATAGCCAAACTACGCCTCAGAGTAATTATCAGGAAAGTATGAAAAAGTTTAATCATCGAAAGGTCTCTAATGAATTTGCAACTAACCTTTATAAACTTTTTGTGCTTCTAAAACAATTAGCAACAATTGAAAACCAGTCATTATCAGTGCACTGGCATTGGAGTCTAAACATGAATACCCCATTTATTCAACAATAGAGTGAACCCACAATTTGTTATCTACAGTATAGGCAATTAGGAGTATGCAAAAGAACTGGCCAAAATCGACTGTATTTGGAGTTTGATTTCGGTTCCTACCTGGAATTGGGTCACAGG